AATAATGATAAGCAGTAACTCACTGGGAATAATGAGAAGCAATATTCTCTTACAATATTTATTCCAGTGCGCATGCTCTTCGACATACTAACAAGGAACATCTAGTAATAGTTCCTATCTACTGCACCACTGAATGCGACACATTTAGCTTTCTTTGGACATTGAAAGGTGACAGTACTGTAACTAATGATGCAGAATGCCAACTAGTTTTAGGCATTGGCGGATCTAGGCGCCCGACAGTATATCTCGAGACGAAAAAAACCGATAACAATAAAGTTTATGAGTAAATTGTATGTGAAGGAATGTGATTCATTGAATGCTGTTAGGTGTGAAAAATGCTATTGTTGAGAAACTAGCTTGGAATGCTTTTATAGTCCGTGAAGTTTACCAGCTTATGGTCTGTTTCATAGCTTATGAATGTGAGAAGAGTCCTGACAAAATTTTCCAGCCACAGTTGATGAGCAAGGCCTATCTTCTCCTGAACTGATAAATAACCTGCGATTGCAGAGACAACTTGTGTAACTATGCCTGTATATGGACAGTTATGCACAGGTGTGAACATGGTGTCATGCTACCCATGGAGAATTTTGGTGACTGGTGCACAAACCCTTTTCCCTTGGAAGCGTTCATGTTTGATAATGAAAATAGTGATTTGGCTGATAGCTAATAACCTGAAAAATATCATAATTTGTTGGGCTTTCAGCCTTGTCTTAAGATATCCTGATTGTTCTTCTGCTGCTCCATGGTCACAAATTATTTAATGAGAGTGTTACTCACTAACATGTTTTCTGAATGACTGTGAATTATGACTATGACACTGACTAACTGATGTTATCAGACAGCCAGTTATACTTCATCAGTTAAGAAACACACGACAGATATTTTAGCTAGATAGTTCATACTGTCTTATAGCACCATCAAAATAGTAAGTATTTTAAACTTATTTTTACCTATATGTCTACTATAAAAGATCAATTACTAGTTCATATATATCCTTTTCAAGCTAAAGAAAATGATAAAATCACAACAATATGTCAGTATATGAAAAATGAAACTGTTCAAAGTTTAAAATTGCCAAATGACATTGTCATAAAGAAAATCAAATTTTCTTATCTTGCAACAATTTAACAGAATGGGATAATACAAGTTCAACTTTATGCTTAAATTCCATCTACTAATAGTTTAGGTGGCCCTAAAAATATGGTGTCTGCTACAGCACTATCAATCTCGAACGTGCCATAAAAATGTGGCTTAACAGCACAACAGTGTATTTAAATAAACACAATTTTGAATTCAAAACTGCACATCTTTTGTATTGTTATCAAACACAAAAAATACGTATTTATATTGCTACAACAATCAATTGTGTCATAATTTACATAACTCTGTATTTAAAGAACACAACTTATGTTGTTGTGAAATAACAAAATGTTCACGTTAAAGTGCGACACAGCTGCTTTTCCAGTGTTGTCACGCAAAAAATACACCTTGAAAGAAAATAGTTTAAAGATACTCAGCCTTACACCTAAATTCGCGGGGTTTCTCACCTTTCTCAAGTTACAATTGTCATAAAAACAAACATATAATTCACACATGGTAACATAATCAATATAATAACCATCAGTTTCGAACAATACAGGTCACTTCAGCCCGATTAGTACGATGATTGGTCAACAAGGAAGTTTTATATGAATCAGAATTTTGAAAGAAGACTTGGTGAAATGCATAGACATATTCACATTTTTATATCCTTACATTATTAAAACTATGGAGCTTGTCAGCTAAATTTAGCTTTCAGGTTCTTTTGAATTTGCGATGTGGAAAATTGTAATATATGTGTCAGAATTTAAAAATATGGATTCTTCTTTTCGCCAGTTGTCAAAATAAAATGCTTTTAGTTATATCTCTTAATAGTATAAATATATACTATGTTGTTGTTGGGCTTAGGATTCTTCTACAGTAGATGTCTGTGACTTGTTAGCAATGAATTCAACGATGAATAAACAGCACGCACGTCACTTGTTTTCAAATAATATATGTATATATTCAGAACAAGTTAACGTATGTACAATAAATATATATTATGGGCATATCATAAATACTATATACGACATTTTTTCCTTCTTGTCAAATATCCACTTAGGCCTATCCAATTACTTTAGAACCACACTTTGACGGAGTAAAATTATTTTTCTTATCTTCTTTTCTACTGTTAGTTTCACTCTAACATATTAAACGTTAGGTCTATGCGAATCGTTAGGCCTATCATTTCTACGGTACTTAAATTCACGCCAATTTGATCCTCTTTCGCTATTATCTGTCTTCTTCTGTCTGTCTCACGCTATTTATATCTTTATCACTTAATCGTCTGTCCGCCTTCTATATTCTCAACGTTGATGTATTGCACGTGACATTCGATATTCTCAACATCAATGAATTAATAACAAAACTTTCTGCAATCGTTTGCTTTTAAATCTTATTATAGCAAAAACAAAACAATAATAAAATATTCACTAACAAAAATTAATTAATCACTAATATCTAAACCAAACAGTCTTTTATATCATGATAATATGTTTCAACAACTTTAATTATTAAAAATTCCTAACTTACCACTATCTGATAAAGACTGGTTATACCTGATACAAAACAACCATTTTCGTCTTCCGAGTTTTCTTCCCCCCCCCCCGTTACAAGTATTATGTTTATACCCGTCAGACAAATATATTCATATGCCTTCTTATATAACTTTGAATTTTACTATCAATTGAATGAAAAATATTGCCTGGAGAGCAGTCACTTTATTATGTACAGACTATAACTAGAATGACAAACTTTGCGTGTGGATTGGCCATTTTGTTATATAGACTCTGCAATTCGAATGGCAAATTTTATCTGGGGAGTGTAGCACTTTGTTATATACACTCTATAATTTAAATGACAAAGTTTGACTGGGGTGTGTGTGGCACTGTGTTGTAAACAGACTATAATTTGAATGACAAACTTTGCCTGGAGATTGTTCACTTTCCTATATGCATTCTTTAATTTAAAAGACCAACTTTTGCCTGAGTAGGGCTATTTTGTTATATAAAGACTACAACTTTGCCTAAGGAGTGGTTACTTTGTTTTATACAGATTATAACTGAAATGACAGACTCTGCCTGGGGAAGATTAGCACTTTTTTATATGCACTCTATAACTTTAATGTTAAGTTTTACCTGGAGAGTGTGGTACTTTGTTGTATACAGACTATTAATTGTATGACAATCATTGCCTAAGGAGGGTGGTCACACTCTGATATACAGAATAGAACGGAAATGACAGACTTTGCCTGGCAGAGTGTGGCACTTCTTCATATACGTTTTCTAACTTCGAAAACAAAATTTGTCTGGGAAGTATGACACTTTGTTGTATACAGATTTTTTTCCCAATATTGATGTCCAAAAATAAAACATAGTACGAATAAATATAGTACAATCGAGACAAACAGTTTTCAGACTTTCACGAAAACATTTTTGTTTTTGTAAGTGATGTGATAGTTTCAAACTTGTGAGATGAAGACGTAATTTATTTGGCGAATACTATTAGAAAATTTTGATCTAAGAAAATGTTCTATTGTGCTATACCATTAATAAAATAAGTCCACATCCAGTAATAGTATCTTATTATGTACATGCAAAGTATAGAATTCCATAACTTCATTTGATGTAAGTACTACATGACCTGCTATTATAAAAAAAAACCTTTGATACCTTATGGAGTCTTTGCTACATACCTAGCTTTATATAACTACTTGTATCTGTTGTAGGCATCTCAATCATCATTAATGGAGTTATCAATGTTAGGAATGATCTTATTTTATTGGAGTAAAGCGTCTAATGATGACTTGTAAATATAATACTCTGATACGTACATACAGAATATTTCTAAATGCGTAAAATTTTTCTCTTACACATTAAATGGTTCTAGACAAGTAATAAATTCGATTACAAAATAGTTAAAAAATTGATAGAATCCGATCTTTGGTGAGCAAACAAACATTTTCACTAGAATCGTTTTTAATGGCTGAACAGCTGGAATACCATTTCCAAACAATGATGAACATTATTACGAACTGATTGTCAACACAAAAAGATCATTAACTAAAGCATTGCTATGTGCAAATCCTCTTTGGAAACCTAAAATAATAACTTCACAGCCCAACTGTGGAGTGTTAAGTCCCAAAGATTAAAATGAAATGAAATTTACCTGCTGTAGGGTGTGGTCCTCTTCGACTTCTCTTTACTCCCGCAAAAACCTTTTCTCTCTTTAAAAAACAAATACATATATACCATTTAAACATGACACAATCTTACCAACCATCAGAATAAAACAGTAATTATAATGCATTACACTAGATTTAAATGTGAAACTTCCTCCATATTTTTGGGAATGGTTCATACTACTGATCCTCAGGCTGTAAGCTTCAACATTCTGGAGAAAAAAAACGAACACAGAAAACAAGGGATACGTTTTAAATTCACGTGTAGCTGTCTTATGTTTCCAAACTCCGAAGTTAAAAATATTTCATAAAATAAATGTAAAATAAGACGATACTTTTATAACCAAACATTACACGAAGCAAAAAGTTAAAAACATTTTAATCGAGTAATTCTTAAAATTATTGTGTTTGGATATTTTTTTTCAAAAATGTTGATTATTATTCTAAAAATACCAGAAACTGTAAAGAGTTTGTTTGTTTTGTTTGTTTTTAATTATGCACAAAGCTACACAAGGGCTATCTGTGCTCTGCCCACCACGGGTATCGAAACCCGGTTTCTAGCGTTGTAAGTCCGCAGACATACCGCTGTGCCACTGGGGGGCAACTGTAAAGAGAATACTGTTTTTAAACGATTTGTCTCGTACTGTACTTGGATATAGAAAAATCTATTCATAACTAAATTACTTTCTTCAACAGCGGTAAGTAGAGATTTTTAAGCCACAAAATTAATCCAGAGATAAATTTGTTTTCAAGGTAAAAAACAAAAACCTTTTCTCAAGCTATGTTTAAAAACTAGAAAATATTTATCAAACTGTTTTTTAAAATTGAAAAATGCTCCATAAATAACAGCTCAAATCTTACATAGAATTTTTAAAATATCCTAATGTTTAAAAACAGGTCACAGTTGATTGTTTATTTGCTTTTGCAAAGAACATATTACAAATTGTAAACTAATAATGGATATCATTCGCAACTGGAAAACTCACTCTTCGTTCTGGTTTTGTTTTGTACTCAAATCCACCTTCAGGACTTTCTGTAATGTAAAGCGGGTGATGACGAGCTGGGTTTTCAGGGTCATTCCCTCCTTCCACGTAAAATGTATATGTTTTTCCTCTCTGCACCGTAATTTCGGGAATAATTAACCCATTGATGTACCAAGCAATGCCCCATCCCACTTGGCCTACAATAAAACGTTTATAAACAGTTTAAGGAATGTTTAAAAAACGAACATTTAAAGGAATGTTCTGATAAACAATTGCGTTGTTCAAATTCAGACTAAATATTGGTAAATGTTATGTAAAGGTCTCATTCTATGTACACGCTGATGCACTGATCCAGCAGACGATCTTTTCAATATGGTCGATACGTTATAATTAATGTAAGATTGTAAAATCGATTAAAATCACTGTTTTAATAAAAGATATATTGTATATGGAGCGCATATGTTGAAAACTTCTGTTTCAACTCTTACAAAGTAATTTTAAAGTGCTCATCAAAGTTCAAACTCAAAGCTTGTATTGTACGTTCTTAAGAAGCAACTAAGAGAAAAAAAAAGCATTACTCTATAACTCAGAACAAATTATTAGTCTACACTAGACGTAAGGTATGTTGGTAGAAGAGCTATTCAAATATTTCACGATAAAACGTAACAATCGCAATGACATGTGATATAAAGCAAAGAATATTTCCCATTCTACTTAAAAGATTTTTTATTGGACAAAATGTAACCGTCGATATTACATCTCCCTTTCAATTGCCCTACTTTTAAAATATTGTATTGGGTGAAATGTAGTCGCCGTGATGACAACATGACATATAAACTGTGTGTGTATGTTGTCATATAGATACTCATAAAGACTTACTACAACAGCTAAATATCCAGGAATAATTTTGCATATTTATGTTTTATGTTACAGTAAACCAAAGTGAGTCATTGAGGATTCTTGCACCTTTATTTATATGCCTCTGTTATGCTACAGCGGACCATGGTGAGTTATTACTATAGCTAAATGTTTTGTGTCTGTATTACATTACAGGGAATTATAGTGACTTACTACCATAACTGTAACCTTTGATTTGGTGTGTTTAATACTAACACTTATACCTGATCTGCAGCGTGTCTATAAATATATTTTACTGAACTATTGGATTTCATTCACACTACTAAATATTATCCTATGATTATAAATAAATAAATATATATATATATATATTGAGAAAGTCGGAAATAACTACTTCTACGGTATCTTTTATGATTACAGAATGTTTCTTGAAGCTCAACGTTTCACTTTGGAGAAGGTATAAAATATTGATTTTTGTACCGTACGTGAGTAAGTAGATACTGTTTTGTATTGCAATTCATCGAATAATTGTTTTTAGTTTCGACTACGCATTAAACAGTATCAATTAAGTTTGAAAGGGCAGCACCTGTGATGCCTTGATAGCCTTTCTTTCCACCAGTAGGTCCAATCTGAGCGTAGAACGTTCTATTTGCTGGACAGACGATGGAAGGAATCTCCCAAGCTCGATTTTCAACTTCTGTGTTACTACTAGCATATTGAGTACCCTCTAGTTCCGAGACCGTTTCGACGTCATCATTCGTTGAAGAATATTCAGAGTCACCAGCAGGAACTGGACAGTTCCATTTAGGAGCCCGAGCAAAATCGATAAACATATTTCCTGGAAACACAAGATAAGCAGCGATTATCTTGTCAGATATTACTTTCCTGGCCAAAACCAAAACGATATTTCTTATCAAGAACATTTGAAAAGTAGTTTTTTTAACAACAAATCCATATGTTTCTTTAAATTTACTTATTGCTGCCACTAAACTTCAATCAATGAGCTACTTTTGTCATTTTTAAACATTTCAACTAACATTGGTATAGATTTTCGTCAACTGAAGTACCAAATTTAGACAACGCTCAAAATAAATTTCAGTAACACAAGACCTTACTTTACCTACCATCAGCCTAACTTTGACCAATATCTTAAAATTAGGGGACAGAAACAAGTAATAAACAGTCATAAGTTATCTCACAATTCCACAAAGCTTACCTTACGAACAGTAAAAATTAACCTTAGTTATTTCACTGCTGTTTTTATCAGTTCCACAAAAGTTAACATTCTCACAATAAAGACTGAGCTATTTTAATTCACTGCTGTTTCGTCAGTTTCACAAAGCTTGGCTTTCAAAGTACAAATGGGTATAAAAGGGATACTTATTTATTTCTTCCTTTGTTTCAACCAACACGTGATGTTATGAATTCAAAATGACTTGTTTATAGAAATGGGTCGGGATTTTTGTAAAACTTGTTCATGCATAATAAATACGAGTTAGTTTCCAAACCTACCGTCTGTACGCAGTTTATGGTATGAGACTTCCCCGCGATTGTTGATTGGTCCAATGGCCCACAACACAGCTTGAGGACCGTCTGAATATATGTTCTGGTCATATTCTTTGTCCACTGAAAACACACACGTGGATAATAGTTACAAACACACATATCATTTTTATGTGTTTAAATTTATTAAGTAAATATATTTTTCCTCTTACTAAGAGGTTTTACTAGTCCATTCCTAGAAAATACTTTTCTCATTAACATATATTTTCAGAATTCGAATAGTAATCAACAGGAAACTACAATCTTCAATATGAATTTCTTTATCCAATCTGGATATGCTTGTACATTCAACCTATGTTTTGTTTTGAGCCTTTCATTAATAATTTTACTAACCGTTTAATAAAGTGGTTAGAAGTTTAAGTTAGTAGGTGATTAATTAAACACCACAGAGTTTTCTTGAAATGTTACAGCTCGTGTTGCATAAATACTTTGGTTTTACAATTTCATAACAGGATAAAGCAGATAGCTCAGTGCCCATTGTGCAAAAATAAGTTTACTCAAAGAAAATATATGTTATGCTTCTTAATTTAAAACAAGAGGTTCAGTGAATTCATAATACCGTCATAATGTAAATCAGTAACTTTCTCATTTTCAGCATGGATCACTCTTAATCGTTGTTATCAATTTCAACACAACACAGAGTATATTTTTAACCACACAATACATCACAAAACACGCTTGCAGCATAACACAACTAATGTAAAAGCAAAAAGTACATAGTTTAAAGCGTAATTTGCAATTAACAGACGAACGTATAAAATTAAAGGGTAAATGTACAAACAAAGGATGTATCAAATATACAGAACAGATATGTCAGATTGAAGGATATACTTACAAGTATGTTAGACATTATAGCAAACTAACACACAACAGATATGCCAAATTAATGAACAAAAAAGATAGCGGGCAATAGATATGGAAAACAGAAGGATAAGCTTATAATAAACATGGTATTCAAAAGACAAACAAATACGCAACAGGTATGTTGATTTATAGGGTAAATGTACAAGAAACTGGCATGTAAAAATGGAGGTTCAATGTAGAAGCAACAACAGATGTGCCAAATTGTAGGGTAAACTTGTAAATAATAGACATGCTAGTAAATATGCAAAGTAACAAGCAACAAATTTGACATATTAGAAGTTAAAAGTACATGCAAAAAACATGAAAAACTGGAAGTTATGAGTGCAAGCAATAAAAAAGCCAAATTGGAGATTGAAGCATATAGTCAACAGATATGCCAAATTAAAAGGTGAACTTACAAGAAAAAAACATGCAAAACTGGGGGTTAAACAAACAGACAAGAGGTATATTAAACGTACAAGCAACAAAAATGCGAAATTGAAGGTTAAACTTGCAAACAATAGACATGCTAGTCAACAGGCAAAACTGAAGGTAGCAAATATATGTCAAAAATGAGAGTAAACTTACAAGTTGTGAATATAGTAGTCATCAGACTAACTAACGGGCAAAATATATGTCAAATTAGAGGGTAAATTAAAAAATACAGACATGTTAGACAACAGACAAATAAACAAACAAAAGAAATGATAAATTTGGCATAAACGTACAACTGACAGAAATGTAAAAACCAAAAATAAAATTACAAATAACAGACATGTGAAGCTCCAGTGAAAACGTACAAAACTGTGAAACTCAAGCGAAAACTTACAAGTGGTAAACCTACGAGTAATAGAAATGAGAAGCTTAAAAGGAAAATTTACAAGTAACAAGAATGTGAAGCTCAAACATAATCTTATAAACAATAGATGTGTGAAAATCAAAGGAAAACTTACAAGTAATCGAAAATGTGAATCTCAAGTGAAAACTTTCAAAAAGTAAAAGAGTGTGAATCTTAAGGTAAATTTACAAGTAACAGAAATGTTGAAACTCAAGGGGCAAATATCAAATGTGAATCTTAGAAGGCAAGTAACAGAAATGTTGAAACTCAAGGGGCAAATATCAAATGTGAATCTTAGAAGGCAAGTAACAGAAATGTTGAAACTCAAGGGGCAAAT